TTGTTAATGAATTTGACCAGGGCAGTTTCTGTGCTGTGAAGTTGACGGAAGCCAGATTGGAGGGGTTCATAGTTTTGGTTCATAGAGGGGTTCATAGATTTCATAGTTCTGAAGGCTTTTGTGGTCAGAAATGCACAGTTCAATTGCCTGTAGGCTCACTGTCTAATATGTAGCCATGCTGGGTGCTGACATGCTGAGTAAAACTGACACAATCCAAAGTAGCTAAGAAATCTATTGTAGTCGAGCATTTATAAGAGTGTATTTAAATCACCAAACAGAAATCGTACAAAAGCAGAGTTAGTAGCTTTAGGGTAGCCAGAGCTAGCAGGTAAAATGGTGAATCAAGTAACATTAAGAAATCATAAACTAGAAAATACTGACATGTAGTTAGAAGTAGCAAAGATTAGTCCAAGCAAGAAAAACAAATAGTCACAAACAATAAAGAGCTTTGAAGAAAACTGAGTAAACTACAAATGTGGATGTGAAAGGGCAGTCAAAGTGCCCTTAGTATCTTCTTATAACTGTCACAAGCTCTTACACATTAACATTGGGAAAAGCCAGATTAAAAATAAAAACATCTTGACATTTTTAAGCATAATCAGCCATTGAAGAACAAGATGCATTAGTGAGATGCAGTACGTGTGCATAATCACATCAGACTGTCAAAATGTCCAACAATATTTTTTTAGGCAGATACTGCAACTGAACCATGGCAGATTCATTGAACATAGCAAAAGTTCTTTTGCTTTTTCCAGGCTAACAGGGTGCAAAGACATTGCTGTTTTCAAACTGAACATAATCTTGATGAAACAACAATGGGATTTGTCCTTGTTCTTATGAGAAAAGGTGTCTCTTTGTATTAAAATAGCTATCATCCTAATGAAAGCAATATTTCCCCTGGATTGTCTTGCAGATAACATCTTCTTTCTGAGTGTGATACCTCCCAGCAGCTTTCAGTTCTGAACCCCTCAATATGACCTTTTCAGAACTTTACTGAGCTGCTGGAGCAGTTTTCGAATCCATATTATCATGTTGAATGCCTGACAGTTTCACAAGACTCTGGTGTCTTAAAAAA